TTTTTTATTTATAAATAAAATTTTTTATTTTTGTTGAATGTTGTGAAATAAAAAAAAATCTGCTTCAAGCACTTTTTGAGTAAAACGTTCAGTTAAAAATGTATTAATACTTTTCGCAATAAAATTGATCACAGTATCATTCAACGATTCGATATTGAAATGAAGGAAATCTCATATCAACTTGTAAAGCATTTATCTTTTCGTCAAATGAAAATAAACGACATTCAACGTTTTAGTATCAAGATAGCGATAGTAAATTTTTAAAAATTGAAATATCCTTGCGAGATGATAAATAACGCGGGAACATTAACTTTTACAAGATTTACATGTTATTCGTGCGAGTAAAAGAATACTCATTACGCATTAAAGAGAGTTCAGAGAGGGTGAGACACTTGTCTCCCATTCGCGGCAACTTTTATCTACGCTATACCCGAGTGGTCCAATGAAATCTTTCCCCTAATACGGGGCTGAGGGAGAGCTTTATCTCTTGCTTTAAAGTTCAAAACTTTGTCTGTGGTGGCAATTCCAAAATTTCCTCTTTAAGCTCGGATGGAGCGAACGTAAGCGCGCCCGTATCGATCGATGTTCTCTCTCGTATTTCTTCGTTCTCTCTCGCTTCCTATCTTCCTATATTCTCCTCCCTCTCTCTCTCTCTCTCTCTCTCTCTCTCTGGGACGCGGCAATTGTGTACAACGTAACCAATGACGTAAAGCTAACATGTACGCGTGAAATTTAACGACGACGTGCGGCGAATATTAGTCTCGTGGGAAATCATTTTTTTCCTAATTTTTTTAAGTTGGTAATATGTCATTGTAATAATTTGTCTTGTGATATATAATATCAAAATAATATAAGAAAATTCTATGGTCTAGTATCCTATGTGACCTACTCGTTTATTATATAGTGAATTTAATAGATAACACTAGTAAGTCGTAACAGGTTGTTCGTCTGTCACGATTGCATCAGTTCATTGCTTAATTTGATTATTCTGTTATTGTTAGTAAAGCAAAATGTAGAACATCGTGGTCATGATATAACGTTTCATAAGTAATTACTTTCTACCAAGAGTTGGTTATTAATTTTCGTAGTTGATTTTATTGTAGCTCCGTTTATATTATATGTTACAACGCTGTTTCAATTTACATTTTCGTCTTAACATTTTGTTTATAACTGAAGAGAGAAAATCCTTTGTAAGGTAGAATGAATATAGTCAACCTAGGCATACTGAGTGTACAGTGTACACATATCGATTATAATGTTTTTTGGTGCTTTTGTTACTCCAGACAATGGATTCTAATTTATCTGCTGAACATGAAAATAAGTAGATAAGTAAACAAGTAAATAAGTCAATTGTTTGGAAAACAGTTCCTTGTGTACTCTTATATGTCGAAAAACATGTCAATATGTTAATAAACTTATAAAAGTAATATTAGATTACTTTATTTTTTATTTTTCCAATATTTTTTTAAAAAAGAGAGTAACATATATTTGGGTACATATGTACCTAATATGATCTAGATGTTATTTTTCTTCAAATCTTTACTGCATTTCTGTAAATATTTGAAAATGTCATATTTTTTTAATATTCAGAAATCCTGTTTTGAATCCGATCATGAGTTTTCCATTCTAAGGTCAACAAAAATGAGAAAAAATTGCAGAATTTAAGTAAATCACACAGAGCATAGTTACCTTACTATTTTTGTCTTCTCCTTTTTAATTTTTCTTTTCTCTTTCTCTCTTTCTCTCTCTCTTTCTTTGATAAATAAATCCTGTTTTGAGTGCGTTGATTTTTCGCTATACAAAAATTACTTCACCCCGCAGTTGCGTGATATTTCACTGTATTTCACAGTAATCTTATTTCATTAAAATATATACGTCGAGATATTGCAGTTCGTAATTTGTGTTCTTAAAAATGCAAACGACGTCCGCGAGATCAGTGAGATCCAAAATCATGCGAAGAAAAAAATCCCAATTCGCAGAAAGAAGCACGGGGAAACGAGCACGGGGAGAGTATTATTTCATTCCCTTTTTTCTCATGTAGTTTCTGTCGCGTTGGTGGATTCACTCGGATTTAACAATGAAATTGTTTACCGATCGTGACGCAATTAGTTCGAGTCCGATATCACTTTTATAATTCTAGATACATTGCGTCGATACATACATTGTATTAGCCAATGAAGCGTGAATTTATATTGGCGGTTAAAAACACAAATTGCGCTATATTAATCGATACATATCGGTGCAATTTGAATTTACATATCGCCATTTCCGAGCTTATTTAGCAAAAAAATGCTTGTGAAAACTGGCAATAGGAAGGGGAGCAATAGGGGAGGAGGGTGTATCGCCTGTTACGATCCGCAACGTCACACACTTTTCTTCCGAATGCGGTTCACCGACCGTTCGGTCTCGGTGGAAAGGAGAGAGTTAACTGCTGCGGTCGCGTGACAAAGTAAGATTAGAGGCGCGGTTGCGTTTCGAAGTTAAGCCGACCTGGTTGCACTTGCCGGAGTTAAACAGCCCGCATTTCGCTCGCCCTTATTTAGTGAGCGCTCCGGCGTTCCGGTGCACTCTACCTTTTTATCCCCAGGGATGTATTTTTGCAGACTCGCGTTTTGTAAATTCCGATGGCTCTGGCGTTTCGACACGTTCGCGTGAAAAGTAAAGAGCGTGCCGTACGCGCGGATATGCGTGCGATCAATTTTCAAGTATACCCTGTACCGTGACACTTTTAATTTATCAGTTTAATTAACAGTATTTATGGCTGCGCTTGACAATTACTTACTATGAAATCGATATGGCACTGCGCGTTTTCTTTGCGTATACGTGTTCTCGAAAATTGTACACCTGATAATGCAATTATAATTTATGTACGTATATAAAAGTCGATAATAACGACTCTCTGTAGTGGAAGTAAATTTTGTCGCAAATAAATTTTGATAATTAAATGTTCTCTAATATTTAATAGGATTTTATGCAGATTAATGGAATAGCAGAGTAATTCTATTATTACGTGAAGATGTTATTTTAGGACAATCGAGAGTATCTTTTTTGACTGTATTGTAATTTGTTTTTTTTTTCTTTAATTTCCTTATAACTTATTCTCGTACAATAATGGGTGAAGAAAAAGCATCGACAGAATGTTTAAATTTACATAAAAGTGGTGTAAAGTACTGTAGAATTATATATACAACAAGAGTGTAAGAAACATAAATAAGACTGTATTTCTGCGCCATTTCGCTTTGTTTGCATCTCGAATTTTTCTAATGAATTCAGAATAACAATGTTTTACGAACTACAATCACGGAATTAATGATGTTTATTTCATTGGCTGTACCATAAGTAGAACACGAATTAAACGAAGAAATAACGTCAATCTGACTTCTAGACACTTCCAAAGGAAAAACTTTTGCATCAACACGTACATATACATACGTATTGAAATGGTATAAAAGAATAAAGTGACTCGGTGGCGCCCCGTTAAATTGAGAATGGAGGATAGTCGGCACGCAGCCGAAAGGTCGAGCGGAACACGAATTTAATCAATTTCCGGCCGCACCACAGTTACGCGGGCACGGGCGCAGCGGTTTTAATTTATCAGTTTAATTAATGGGCATCTGGTATATAGAGTTGCCAATTAAAATAGAATCAACGTCATCGGGTCCCGCGATTTCTTCTTTCGTTGTTGAACAGCGCCGCGAATATCGAGTAAGGGCGGAAGTATGGCGCCGTGTTTGCATATTGCGGAATCCGCAGACAAGCGGCAGAATCCGATAAAATGACTGAAATATCGCAGGCATATGTACATCGTGAAAAATGCTATGATATTTGAAAGGAAAGTACGGCAGCGTATATTCGCGCGCTTTCTGGAAACGTTAATAATCTATACAGGGATGTAGGTCAAATGTTACGAGAACGAATGAAACGACGAATGCGGGATTACAAGCACGATACGCGCGAATTACTCTTGTTAATGTCATACTGCGCCACATTCGCGAGCGTATGAGAACGAGTCAGCGAAGCTGGTTACTATTAACGCATCTTGATGATAATTAATCCCGCGCGCATGCGAATGTCCCGAGGGGTACGCCTTGCATATTGCAATTTTGTTTATGAAATGGAAAAATTACGTTGCAATGCAATCCTCGCTTGGCGTATCACCGAAGCTTTCGCTTTCATTAAAAATTCATATAACCAATTTAATGTTAAGTGGACATAATGCAAGTTATTACCACAATCGGAAAATATTGAAATTTAAAATTTGGAGATAATCTTTTTCAGAGAGATTAGAGATAATTTTTGACGTGAGATTTATATTTTTTCAGAAATATTATCTGTCTTGATTTTTTTTTTTTTTAACTAAGATTATTTAAGAAAACTAACTGAATTGTAAACTGATTCAAGAATTTGTAAAAATTCCATATAAAGGAAATATACAACACGATATTAAAAAAAAATATAATGGAAAAAATGAAATATTTTGACCGTTAATATAAATATTTAAAACAGCGTATTTTTCAATATTACAAGTATAGTTACGTAAACAGCAAGTAACAGGGCAATGATGTTAATAAAGATGAAAATGAAATGTTAAATTGATCGTCTGTAATTTATTTCATGAAAAAGGAAACAATTTTATACTTATATAATAAAATGAAATTTTGCGATGTGTACGACACCGATCGACTCGTGTAAACATATTAAAAATGTAAACATATTAAAAATGTAAATGATTTAAAACGCCGGTATGATCAAACATAGTTAGTACAAAACGATCAATACTTGTTAATATCCGTGCAACGCGTGATATACTATGTAAACTTTTGCAAGCTTTCGCGGTATAACTGTATAGAGAGATGAAAAGGAGGTCGGTTTAAAAGGAAAACTGCGTGCATAGTCTCTGCGTTATCGCAAGAAATTTCTGTTATTTACATTTATTAGCGGGCTCGCTCGTATCTGCATAAAGTAAGCGTCTCGCAAATGCGGTATGTAGCGTGTCTTACCTTCTCTATTATGCACACGAGATTTATGATAGACCCTACGTCGACGTGATGCTCGTCGCTTCCTAATATAAACGCCTCTGGTATCACTATATTTAGATTGACAAAGTGTGACAGTATCCCTGCACTTCTCGAGACCTGCAAAATAAAAAATACAGCAACTGTGAATTATTTTGCACACAAAATTAAATAAAACGTTTCATATAATACGAAAAAAATTTTAATGTAAAAAAATCAGATTATATAATTCATTTTCATTCTAATTAAAAAATGGCAAAATTCAATGAGATTGTTCTATAAAATATTTGCAATAACTGTAGAATCCAAAAGAAAATTTAAGAAAGAAACGTGATATTTGAATTCTTACAATTCATTTTATTTTAACTTCGTAAACAATAATAATATGTATACAGTAATATATACGCAGTCGGACCAAAACAAATCATAAAGATAAAATGAAAATAATTTTACTGAAATATCAAACAGTCTCATATATAGTAGCTCCTACACAAATGCAAAAGACTAAAAATATTATTGACTAAAAATATCAAATATCTTAATATACTTTTCAACAAATTGTGACAAATAAAAAATTAATTAATGTTCATCAATTGTGGCATCAAAACTCGTTAACAGTCACATTCACGTATTTAAATCGGTGCAAAAACTCATTATTTATTTTAATTTTTTAAAATAATGAATACTTTAGCTAACCGTCGCGATTTGAAAATACTTTACATACTTTCGGTCAGAGCCGAATATTATATGCTTCAAAGTATACAAACGCACAATGCGAAAGCTGAGTGAGCATTAATTCAACGGGTTTCGAGTACATGAAAATCGGCTTATCGACAACTTTGTTCAAAAATGTTGTCCCAAAATACCAGGTTTTTTAGTGTAGTTCTTTAAATATTCAATGTAAAACGGAGTGCTTCCCTGGTAGTGTTTCAATCTTTTTCACCAAAAAAATCTTGAAATAGATGAGTTTAGAATATATAGCATACATATATAAATTAAATATGTATAATTTTATTTTAATAAAAATTTAAAGTGTTCCACTCTGTTAATAATTAAAAAATTCTCAGTTTTATAATTTTTTTCATTATACTAATCTATAGTGACATTTAGTTGCATAAAACTATGTATGATAAAAATATATACTATCTCAGTATAATCAATATGAGAAAAGAATCAAGAAAAAAAAAGAATATTATCGATCTTTCTAAGTTTTCTCAATCAGAAAAGACAGAAAAGAATTATGTCATGACATGAATGAAATTATTATTGTATACCGAAATTATATATACCGAAAAAATATTACGAAACGTGACTGAAAATATTGCATACCTAAATTATATGTACCGAAAGCTCTGTTCTCAAATTTTACATTTCCCTTATACAACTTCGCTAAAACATCGCAAACAGAATATTATCGTTGCACTGTTTTCTTCATCTTTCGGTGATATTCGGAAAACAACAGTGTCCTTTTTTCGAGCGCATTTGTTCGCGAAAAATCCATCCCTCTATCCTTCCTGAGTACCGTGGGATGTCGCCGGATATACGTATGTCGTTTTAGTACGCTGGGATGCTGCAGTTTGCAGTTGCAGCGAACTCCGCAAGTCTCTGGGAAAGTTTGCTGCAGGACAATGGTCTCCGTAGGTAGGTAGCTATACATAGGTAGATAGATACGCCGCGCTCATAAAAAAGCATTATGCGAGTTTGAGAAGTGTATCGTTCCACTGCCAACTTGGACGAGCGCCGGTCTCGCCTCTGACGCGCAGAACTTTCTTCTTTCTCTTCCCGATTCACTGTGAGCGGCGCGCCGAACTGCATCCTCGCAAACGCATCTCTGCGCATCGTGCGGCTATACGGGCGTCGCGGTAAAAATGTCACCGCGAATAAATATACAGTCGGATGCTGGCTGATGGTATTTTTTCTTTTTCTTTTTTTTTTAACGTTATATGCGCGCGCCTTCTGGCCACGTATACATCGCGGTTATGAAACGTCATGAAACGCCTGGCTGCTCTCGCTGTTCTCCGCTGCTCCTCCTTTCTTCATTTTTTTCGTTTTTAGAAAAATACGCGGCGAAGAGGGAGGGAGGGGAGAGAGAGAGAGAGAGAGAGAGAATCTCGACTCGTACACGCGCACCCGCCATTGTAGTACGTGGGAGTATAATCGCATTAATAAAACAGTATATTCTATGGACGGCGCGTTATAATAGTGGCGCAAAGTCTTGTATGCTTTTGCATGACAAAGGATGAAATTGACAAGCGCTGATGCTCTTGTTGTCACGGCGGTGGATGGGTCACTCCGCGGTACAAAAGAACCGTGAATAGGAGACGAAAGCCCAGTTAATTAAATCCTCGTACGTTTAACTGTCTTGAAAAATCTGTTGTCCGGTAAAACGGCGTATCTCTCGGCTATACACTTGGACGACAAACGATAGCGATAAATTGTCATTCCTCACGGCTAAGTATAACAGCATTTTTTAATCAAGTGATATTTCTATTATCACGTTTTTTTTAATTAATTTTTCTCGATCTCTTCCTTATTGCATTTTGATTAAAAATTTGTGCCATTTCTCACTGTTTGAGAAATTCTTCTCGATCCTGCCAGTAAATTTAAGAATTAATTAATTCTACAAGAATATATATATATATATATATATATATATATATATATATGTACAGTAAGAAACATTTTATAACCCTTAGAAACGATCCCTTCAAGTCTTTATTAAAATTTTGTGTCAAATTTTTAATATATCCAAATATTAATTTAACATAATGTGATTATATTATGTTAAATTATTTGAATATTTTGTATGAAATTGATATTTAATGTTTCTTAGTGTTAAAATAACATAATTTATGAGTAAGTGAAAACAAATAACATAAAAATAATGTTTCCCGACATAAATTCTAAGACAAATAAATAAAATGTCGCTTTAATCGGGTTGGAAATTTGAAGGTATTTAAAATTTTTATTAGTACAACTACTTAATAATTGACGTATTGACAGTTTCGTAAACGAGGTCAGTTACAGGATGATCGAGGGTTTGCACCACATGAAGTACGGAGCGCGAATTTGTGGCTACCCAATGCGATACCATATTCGCAGTGATATACTCGCTCACTTTGCCGGCCAACTCCATAAATACGATGCAGCTGTGCGTATCTCGCACCGCTGCCTCTCGCGGCGTCAAATGAACAGTCCCGTGGTCAACATGTATGCAAAATCGCGCGAATTAAAAGTATGTGCGTTCTGATTAATCGGTCGGCACGCGACTCGCGTTTCTCTACTCCTGTTGATTTCGATCGAGGAGAGTGCGCCGCACATTGCACCGCCGCGAGTGACGTTTATTTTCATCGCGCTTGAATAACAGCAGATAAATTTGCGAAGGAAATATTGCTGCGCGCGTGTGCGCTTTTCTCACGAAATTTTATCTTTTCGCGGCAGAGAGAACGTTGGGCTGAGCGTCGCTATAAATGTTGCGCCATGAATTTCGTTCGTAGTGGACGACGAGCCTTTTTGCCGGCTTTTCAAGATAAAATCGCGGACCATCTGGCGCGGATATGCGTTTACAATTACCGTCGCGTCGCGAATTGCCTATGTAAATGCCGTTCATCGTGCTCGCGTTTCGAACTGAACTGTGGGTTTTTTTTTTTTCATTCACGATTAATACACGAGCCGCGTCGGGCTAGCGGAATAACCCTCCGGCAAGGATTATCGACTTCATGTATCGCTCGTTTTCCTCTCTCTTTCGTCCTCTTCCCTTCTCCTCCTCTCACTTCTCCCGAAAACACGCGGATACTCTTATCTGCCGAGTGGTGGGAATAAAAAATGACGTCTGTCATGAATCGGGCTGTTTGAAAATCTCCCAATTGTGCGAAGAAGAGCCGAGCGTCCCAGATTTTCAGTGGTAAGGCTCGGGCATATATCAGCCGAGGCCTCGTTTCTTTTGCGAAACATTTTACGGAAATATGATTTTTGCACCGACCATTTGACCTCAGCATAAATATATCAGAGAGATTCCTTATGGGCACAGGGCTCGACACACACAGTGTTCGTGGCAGATGTGATTATCACCATTGACTTTTCCAGAGTTAATGCGTTTGCCAACCGTTTCCACCTAACATTCACGCAAGTCTTGCAAAAAATTTAATCTGCGGCGGACAAATGGTCTATTTATTTAACATGCTTTTATATAATAATTCTTCTTCACTTGACTGTTTCATTTAATTCACGTGTATTAAGACTTGTTATAGCTACGGTATTTTCAATTTTGCAATTTATTGTAAAGCATGTATTGTATATGGAATATTTAAAAAGAATAAATTGATGTATTATTTGTAATTTTATAAAAAATGCGCGATAAAAATAACGTGCAGAGTGATAGATAGATAGATAGATAGAGAAAAAAGAGGGAGGGAGAAAGAGATTTACTGTATTTACAATCTCTATTTTTAATTCCCATTTAGATTAAACACGTTTCTTAGAGAAATAGAATATTTCAAATATGTTGAAATAAAAATGTAACTAAATTATAATCAACACTGCAGAAGTAAACATGTATGTGTAAAATTCAAAAATATGTTTGTCAAAAATATGAAATTTAAGAATTTATTAAAATACAACATCGCACATATAAGGATATACATCCGTTAATAAATATTTCTCTTTCTATGTTATTTTTGTCGTCTATGTTTTTTTTTTTCATAAAATGACACGCATAAAATTCTTTTCAAATATATTAGATATGTGTTTTACAAAATATTGCAAAATTAAACATATAAATTTTGCTCATTTATTCATTGCTTTTTGATATCGATTCGTTCGATCTTCTTTTTTATATGCATTACTTATAATCACGTAATAATGAAAAATATCTTTCGTTATAGAAAAATGTTTTTCATGCAATCGTTTCACAGTTGCTTCGGACTAATGGTTCCGTAATCATGAAAATTCACAGGTATGACTTTTTCATACGTCCCTGATCGTGCGTTGATTAAAAATTTCTATGTCTGCAGCACTATTACTTCACGTACTCGTTCGCGTGCTTGAAAATAGTAGCGAGCCCCGGAAGTTTTTCATTGCAACATTCTTATTTAATGCGCCGCATAAAACACTGTACCGTG